TCAATAATTCAAACAATTCCTTCTACATACCTATTTCCCAATAATTCTTAGTAATTCCCTATTTTTGTACATCATAATTCCCAGTGGTTTACCCCTGAGAAAAAATCAGAAAACTGCATTGAGTGATTTTTAAATTATTTATCATGAAAAATATGCCTATTTGTACTTTCAAATTCACTAGGTACTCTGTACTCTTGAAAATTTCCTATTGCTTACATACATTACATTAAATTCTAAAAAAATTCGAAAATCTATCAGTATTTTTTTTTAATACATAAATCATTAGACTGAGAGAGACTGTTGTTGAGTTTTCAAGGATCAATTTATTGAAACAAAATCTAAATTGAATTAAACCAGTTTCCAAGCGAAGTGTTAACTTCAAGTTTTTTCAATATGTAATTGATTTCCAAAATTATAGAAGGTTTCTCACAAAAGTCTCTGACAGTTTGCAAACTGTAAGAAAACATCGTCTAGGCATGTTTTCAATGTCCTTATTGCATGCGATAACTTAACTGAATGATTGTTACGTTACTGCAATTTGCAAACTATCAAAAACTTGTGAGAAGATCTATAGTCACTCAGAAAACTTACAATTTTTTGAACTCTCTCAAAGATTTGAAGAGATGTGCTAAAAACTTTCAACCAATCACAGCAGCTTGAAACTTTTAGAATCCATAAATTGAAGTTTCTTCCAGAATACCTATAAATCAAGCTGGAAGTTGATGTCATGATTTTTTTCAAATTGGTCCTTAAGAAATCCTGAAATTTCTGTAAAAATAAGGTTCATTAACAAAAAGATTTTAAGAGTTTTTGAATGAAAACAATTGAAGAATTAAAGATTTTCAGAACTTAGGATTCTTCTCAAAATCAAACTCTGAATTTTAAAGATTCCAGATTATTTGAACAAATTCAACGAGAAATCTTAAATCTTGAAATGTATTATTTTGAAACAATCTTCCAAATTCCTCCAACGACCCAAGTAGTAAATCGCAAAAGTTCTCGCCCCAAAAATTACCAACCTTCTTTCTTCAACAGGTTTAAAGAAACACGCCAAAATCCCCATCTACATTGTAGAGTACCATAACGAAGTCATCCCTTTCATCTACAAAAATATCGGCTCTAAGCATTTGCCCTTCGAAGGTTCCAACATAATCCATTTCGATTCGCACCCGGACATGCTCATACCCAAAGACATGCCTGCAGAAACTGTTTACAATAAAGAAGATTTGTTTGATGAGTTGAGCATTGAAAACTGGATGCTACCTGCAGCGTTTGCTGGACATTTGAGTAAATTGTTGTGGGTTAAACCACCTTGGGCCAATCAAATTGAAGATTCAACTCAAAGTTTTCTTATAGGGAAAGATAAAGAGACTGGAACAATTAGGGTGAATTGCAAGGAAGATTATTTTGTTTACGAGTGTTTAACTAAAAAGGAAGATAAGCTTGACAATGCTAAAAATGTTGTTTTGGATGTGGTTACTTTAGGCAAAAAGATTTCAAATGAAGCAGACGATTTTGATGTTATACGTAGAAAACTACTAGACTACACTACTCCATACATTTTGGATATAGATTTGGATTTTTTCAGCACCTCAAATCCTTTTTTGGCACTATACAAAGAAGCTAATATGTATAGCCTTGTAAAAGAGGCTTTCAAAATTGAAGCTCCTAAATCCAAAAGTTTTGAAGACATTGAAGAATTCACTATGCAAAGAGACAAGCAATTCAGTTATATGAAGGACATTTTTGATTATATAGAGAAAAACTCGAAAATGCCTGATCCAGATGAAACTGAGTTTTATAAAAAAGTAGAGGATTTATTCAAGGCACTTTTACAGCATGGCAAAGCCTCAGACTTTGACTGGGAATTGATTTACAATGCAGGTTGTACTTGTGACGTAACAGATCTGCCTCATTATATTTGCTCGGAAGAGGAATTGGAAAAGATGTTTGAAAGTTTTAAGACTTTTATTGAAATCTTGCCTGCACCCCCTACAATTATAACAATTTCAAGATCCAGTGAAGATGATTACACACCTGAGGAGTTTGTGGAGAGGATTCAAGAAAGAGTATTGGAAATTTTGCGAGAGAAATTTCAATGCGATGAGCCTGTTTTAAGCTACAAGAATTTGGAATAATAAATTATTGTTAAAATAATAAAATCCTTACGATTTAAGTTTTTTATATTTTTCGAATTTTGACTTTTTCAATGAATAGAGAGGGTCTAAATTAGTCGAAAAAAAACCCTAATATAATTTTCAAATGAACAATTTAAAGAGAAAATTTCATTTTTTGATTTTGAATTTTTTTAGAATCATGACAAGGTTAGGAAAAATTACCAATATTTCAATTAAACTTTGAACAAATCCATATAAATTATACACCATTGGAAAGAGCATTAAATTCTCTACAAATCTGCATTTAATTGAGTTCAACAGCTCAAATACCTTTTGAGCAATTGAGCCTCTAAGTTGGATTTTACTCGAAATTTAGTCAAAAACTTCAAACTCAATTTTCTCAAATAAACCTGAAAATATTTTCCAATAAGGGTTTTTTAGAGCTCGATAGGAGCTACAATTCCTGGAAATTTTGATTCGATATCCCTCACGGATTTTCCTTATCGATAGAGCAGGTGTCAATAAGTCAAAAAACAATCTAACATCATTTCTCAATGACCAATTTGATTAGAGAAAAAATCAAGAAGAAAACTTCATTTTTTGGCTCTGAACTCCTTTGAATCATGACAAGGTTAAGAAAAATTACCAATATTTCCATTAAACTTTGAACAAATCCATATAAATTATACACCATTGGAAAGAGCATTAAATTCTCTACAAATCTGCATTTAATTCAGTTCAACAGCTCAAATACTTTTTGAGCAATTGAGCCTCAAAGTTGGATTTTACTCGAAATTTAGTCAAAACCTTCAAACTCAATTTTCTCAAAAACTATATATCTGAAAATATTTTCCAATACAAGTTTTTTAGAGCTCAATAGGAGCTACAATTCCTGGAAATTTTGATTCAATATGCCTCACGGATTTTGAGATATTGAAGCTTGAAGATTTTGAAATAAAAATCCAAAGGGGGTAGTACACATTAAAAAAAATCGAAATTTTCAATTTTCATATTTTTCAAATTTTGACTTTCCTTATCGATAGAGCAGGTGTCAATAAGTCAAAAAACAATCTAACATCATTTCTCAATGACCAATTTGATTAGAGAAAAAATCAAGAAGAAAACTTCATTTTTTGGCTCTGAACTCCTTTGAATCATGACAAGGTTAAGAAAAATTACCAATATTTCCATTAAACTTTGAACAAATCCATATAAATTATACACCATTGGAAAGAGCATTAAATTCTCTACAAATCTGCATTTAATTGAGTTCAACAGCTCAAATACTTTTTGAGCAATTGAGCCTCAAAATTGGATTTTACTCGAAATTTAGTCAAAACCTTCAAACTCAATTTTCTCAAAAACTATATATCTGAAAATATTTTCCAATACAAGTTTTTTAGAGCTCAATATGAGTTACAATTCCTGGAAATTTTGATTCAATATGCCTCACGGATTTTGAGATATTGAAGCTTGAAGATTTTGAAATAAAAATTCAAAGGGGGTAGTACACATTAAAAAAAATCGAAATTTTCAATTTTCATATTTTTCAAATTTTGACTTTCCTAATCGATAGAGCAGGTGTCGATAAGTCAAAAAACAATCTAACATCATTTCTCAATGACCAATTTGATTAGAGAAAAAATCAAGAAGAAAACTTCATTTTTTGGCTCTGAACTCCTTTGAATCATGACAAGGTTAAGAAAAATTACCAATATTTCCATTAAACTTTGAACAAATCCATATAAATTATACACCATTGGAAAGAGCATTAAATTCCCTACAAATCTGTATTTAATTGAGTTCAATAGCTCAAATACTTTTTTAGCAATTGAGCCTCAAAATTGGATTTTACTCGAAATTTAGTCAAAACCTTCAAACTCAATTTTCTCAAAAACTATATATCTGAAAATATTTTCCAATACAAGTTTTTTAGAGCTCAATAGGAGCTACAATTCCTGGAAATTTTGATTCAATATGCCTCACGGATTTTGAGATATTGAAGCTTGAAGATTTTGAAATAAAAATCCAAAGGGGGTAGTACACATTAAAAAAAATCGAAATTTTCAATTTTCATATTTTTCAAATTTTGACTTTCCTAATCGATAGAGCAGGTGTCAATAAGTCAAAAAACAATCTAACATCATTTCTCAATGACCAATTTGATTAGAGAAAAAATCAAGAAGAAAACTTCATTTTTTGGCTCTGAACTCCTTTGAATCATGACAAGGTTAAGAAAAATTACCAATATTTCCATTAAACTTTGAACAAATCCATATAAATTATACACCATTGGAAAGAGCATTAAATTCCCTACAAATCTGTATTTAATTGAGTTCAATAGCTCAAATACTTTTTTAGCAATTGAGCCTCAAAGTTGGATTTTACTCGAAATTTAGTCAAAAACTTCAAAGTCAATTTTCTCAAAAACTATAAATCTGAAAATATTTTCCAATACAGGTTTTTTAGAGCTCAATAGGAGCTACAATTCCTGGAAATTTTGATTCAATATCTTTCACGGGTTTCAAGATATTGAGATTTAAAGATTTTCATATAAGAATCCAGAGTACCCTTTGAAAAAAATCGAAATTTGTATTTTTGATATTTTCTGAATTTTGACTTTCCCAATCGATAGAGCGGATTTAAATTAGTTGAAAAACAATCTAACATCATCTTGAAATGACCATTTCATACAGAAAAGAAAATCTCAATTTTTAAGAAAATCCTGACAAGGCTAAGAAAAATTGCTAATATTTTCATTAAAATTCGAGCAAATCAAAATAAATTATACACCATTGAAAAGAGCATTAAATTCTCTATAAATCCGTGCTAAATTGAGTTTGATACCTCAAATATTTTTTGAGCAATTGAGACTCAAAGTTGATATAAAGAAAAAAATTATTTCAGATGGTAAACCAATGCTTCGTCAAGGCGACACTGGCGACTGGATCGGCACTTTCGAAGGCCACAAAGGAGCAGTTTGGGGCGTAGCCCTAAATGCCCAAGCCAATAGAGCGGCTAGTGGAGCAGCCGATTTCACTGGAAAAGTTTGGGATGCCATCTCGGGCGAGGAATTGCAATCTTTCCAACACAATCACATCGTCAAAAGCGTAAATTTTTCAAAAGATTCTACCCTACTAACAACTGGCAGCAATGAGAAGTTGATTAGGATTTTTGATCTTAATAAGCCAGAAGCTGGTAAGTTATTTATTTTACATTATTATAATTTTACAATACAATTGAATATTTTTAGCTCCTGAAGTATTTTCTGGCCACACAGCTGGAATAAGGCATGTAATGTTCTTCAGGAATGATTCCTATTTAGTTTCATGCGCAGATGATAAAACTTTAAGAGTGTGGGACAAGGCAACAAAGCAAGAAGTTCAAAAAGTAACTTTCCCCTTCAACCCCAACAGCTTGGAAGTTTCAAGAGATGGCTCGGTGCTTACAGTAGCTTATTCCAATAAAGTAGCCTTTTTCGACTCGGAAACTTTAAGCAAAATCAGAGAATACACTGTTCCATCTCCAGTCAATTCGGCCTCGTTGCATCCAGACAAAAGCATTTTTGTTGCAAGTGGTGACGACTTGAAAGTTTACAAATACGATTATCAAACTGGGAACGAAATTGAGTCTTTTAAAGGGCATTTTGGCCCAGTGCACTGTATCAAGTTTTCACCTGACGGTGAATTGTATGCTTCAGGGTCAGAAGATGGTACTTTGAGGCTGTGGCAGACAACTGTAGGCAAAACTTATGGTTTGTGGAAGTGTGTTGAAGGTGCTAACCTTAATGATAGTTTAACTCCAAAAGAAGTACAAGCCAATTGAGTGATTACATAATATATTATTTATTTTTTTAATTTTTAATTGAAGTTGGGTAGTTTTTTTCATGATATAATGGAAAATAGACTGAAAAAGCTTCATTGAAATAAATAGTCGTTTGTAAACAGATTATATTTGATATTACAAGATTACATTGATTTTAAAATCTACCAAAATACATCAAAAATAAACTTGTTTTGTGTGTAGATCCCTGTAAAAATTTCAAAACAAAAGGTGAGTTTGTAGCTTGGTAAGTGCAAAAAGGTAAGTAAAACAGAAGCCTTATTAATTAAAATATTTACATGTATAGTATTGCTATAAAAAAATATTATATACATACATTTAGGGGGGCAATAATAAACTGCCCTACAACTAATGCTACGTGTTTAACACAGAATTTTGGTAATAATAGAAAAAAAAACTTAAGTAAATATTATGCCACTTATGAGATATTTATAATGCAACACCAATAAAAAAGGCCTGTAAACATTATACAGATTGAGACAACTTCAATTAGTGACCTTATAATTCATGGGACGGCATGCAATAACTGCCTCTATTCAAACAATAAAACAACCACTCTCTAATCTACTACAACACGACTGATTAAATAAAACAGTTTCCTCTAAACAACTTGGACAATAATTACAACAAACAAAAAAAATACACAAGTCAATTCAATTCAGTCTTTGCCTTTGACGTAGACGTAAAGGCTCCGCAAAACGAGGTAATAAGTGTAGAGCGAGAGCAGTACGAACAGAGGGAAAACGCCCATGGAAAAGATCTCGATCAGAACGGTTTTGAGCCGGGATCGAGGTCAGGAAATTGTGCACGAGTTGCGCGGCACGCAGCTGCTCCTTGTGTCCAGACCGGCCGGTGTTGTCGGGATACTTGTGAACCTAGAAAACGAATCACTCTGTTCCGAGATTTTTATTTTTTTTAATATGAAGATTTTTTACCTGAGTTTTCTGCCTCCATGTTTCTTGTGACTGGTAGCGTACCGAAACTGCTGGGTACTGGTGGAAGTCAAAGCGTAAGACTTCAAATGCGACTTGACACAAGTGGGTAAAGGTAACTGTTCAATGCTGTAGACAGTGGTTCTGGCCACTATTGCTCTACAGCAAAGTTCTTGTAGACTCAGAACTTTATTCGACCTGTTGGAACAAAATAAAAAAAGTATATGAATATAATGAAATTGTTGTAATTACCTCCAGAGTCGTTCCATTCCGTTCCGCTGCAAAGCCATCCTGGACAATTCGCAAAAGCTTTCGTGTATGTTGAAATTGCAAAGAGGTGACACTTCAAAAAATGCCATGCTGTGCTTGTTGGCATACAACTGTGCGTCCCTTTGACCCACTTTGCGTTTGAATGCCAAATGCAATCGGTTGCCTACTAGGACTTTGGGTACTCCTGGTGCGTGGCTGTCAACTTCTTTTAACCAGCGGTCCAGACCGTCGAAGGACCACCTGAATTGAAGAATTTTATTTTGTTTATAGGTTTTTAATATTGGATTGTGAGATAAAGGTACCATTGAATGGAGTCAACTACAAGGTACCATTAAGGCATTAAAATCCCATTATTGAAGACATATTTTCCAAATTTGCAAATTTCACCATTGTAGATCTTTCAGATGCATTATATGGTTCATTAATACACATCAAGGTCTATTTCAATATAATAGAATGCCTTTTGGTATGGAAGAGGCACGATCTATTTTTCAACAAATTATGGATATTGTGATGGCAGAATTACAAGGTACTGCAGCATATCGATCATATTTTGGTTTCTGAGAAATTCGATATTTCAAACATATTTCGAATATGCAAGGTATAAAGCCAGCCCCTTTGAAAAACAGAAGCTATTCAGTGAATGCCATCACCTCACGATGTTTAGTTGTTGAGAATATTTCTTGGAGCCCATAAATTACTATGGAAAATTCATCAAGAGCATTTAATACTTTCAGAAATCCATTGGATAAACTTTTGAAGAAAAACGAGAAATTTGAATGGACAGAAGATTGTTCAGAGGACATTTGAACAATTTAAGAACATTCTTCAGTATACTACTAACCAAAATACTAGGGGCTTAAAAATGGCAAAATACATGATTTCTTTAAAGCCATGTCTTATTGAATAACGAATGAAGGCTTTCACGGCCGGTCAAATCTAGCAAAAAAGTTTTTTCCGGGCTATAATGCCGTGGTCCATTAGTATTTCTACCTAACGTTTCGTCTACTGCTGCGGTAGACATCTTCAGAGGCGGTGTGGTAGAGGACGAAGTGTTCTCTTCCGTGTTTCTCCGATGACTGAATTCGACGTTGAGGGAACTGCGTTATTTATATCCAGGGTTGTGGGCGTGGCTTGGGTTACGGTATTTTCCTTGTCTCGTTCTCGGAAAGGAAGGGTCTTTGTTTTTCGGAGAACTGACAACCAGCTTTTATTGAGGTTCATGCCCTCTTCTTTTCTGTTGAAGTTGTTGTGGTGTTTCTGTATCTCTATGGCTTCTCTGTGGAGCCTGGTGTAGAAATGTTTGGTTCTACCAGACTCAAACATTGGATAGAACCAAACATTTCTACACCAGGCTCCACAGAGAAGCCATAGAGATACAGAAACACCACAACAACTTCAACAGAAAAGAAGAGGGCATGAACCTCAATAAAAGCTGGTTGCCAGTTCTCCGAAAAACAAAGACCCTTCCTTTCCGAGAACGAGACAAGGAAAATACCGTAATCCAAGCCACGCCCACAACCCTGGATATAAATAACGCAGTTCCCTCAAAGTCGAATTCAGTCATCGGAGAAACACGGAAGAGAACACTTCGTCCTCTACCACACCGCCTCTGAAGATGTCTACCGCAGGAGTAGACGAAACGTTAGGTAGAAATACTAATGGACCACGGCATTATAGCCCGGAAAAAACTTTTTTGCTCCATGTCTTATTGTGTGGTGGTTACTGAGACACGGTTACAGGACGGACTTCATGACCACGACATATTCAACAGTAACTATAGGAAAAACTGTACTGCTTGGATGTAATGAACATGATGACTACTTTGTATTAGACATAAGTGTGTCAAAATAGGATTTGAGTGAGATTCTAGATATTGATGTTTAAGGCTGTAAGCTTCATTTTAACCACCATTTTCTTTATATTTTTACAATATTTATGCAACCAAATGCACCATTACCAGAGCAGAGACAATCATTTAAGTATTTAACAGTGTTTAGTTTGTGCCCCAATCAATCGAACTTTAGTGGAAGATAAACTACATGGAAAATTTTGTGACCAGTATCAAAATGTAGTGCAAATTTTTCTCTATAATGTCTGCGGAAAATATATAAAAAGTTAAGTGACTGAGGCTTCTGTGCTACTGTATTACTGGTGATTATTAAAATTTAAAATTTAAATTTCTTATCTTGAACCTGAGGAGCAAAAACGGATAAACTGATACAAATTTATAACAATAAACTTTTTGTTGTAAAAAAGATAAAATAATAATGTCGACATTTAAGTGTTGTAAAAACAAGGAATCATCAATATTTTTTTGCGTAGTCTGTAAAAATGCGCTCCATAGAAGCTGTTTGAATAGATCAAATAAGCAGTTTACCACTATAAAAGATAGCTTTATCATATGCTCTAAAAACTGTAGACAGGAGGCGGTGGACCAGGACCCGGAAACGTTTGACATACTAAATGCCATCATTGAAGAGCTGAAGGTAGGAAATACTGAAAGAGATGCCTATATTGAAAGACTCAAACGTAATTCGAGGTCTGTGGTTGAAGACGCTTCACGCTATGAGGAAGATTTTATAAAAGAAATTGAGGAGAAGGACAGTAAAATTCAGGCACTGGAGAAGAAGCTTAAAGAACAGCAAAAAGTTATTGATAGCAATAATAAGGAGTTAATGGAAAAAGACATAGCTGCACAAATCCATCTGTCTGTTACAAACTCGGATTTATTAAATAAAATCCAGAAGCTGCAAAATATTAATGCGGATCTTATTGAGCAAGCACAAGCAAATAATATAACTATAAAAAAACTTAATACTGATCTGCTAGAGCTGAAAAATGTAAAAGACAATATGATATCTGCCTTAGAAATGCTTCAAGCTGATAATAAAATTTACGCAGAAGAACTGAGACAGGCCAATATATCTAAAAATGTTACATCACTTTTTGAAGAAATGGAGAAATCAACGAACGATAATAATAACAGTGAAATAAATAGTAATAATAAATTTCGACTGGTGGAAAGAAAAAAGTCTCGAATCAACAATGGTGCTATAAATGGTATTGAATCTACATCGAACAGAGAGATTACAGACACCAACCACGTTCTGCTTTTGACGGATGGCTATGGCAAATTCATGTATGACTATCTCCGAAGAAACATAGGTACAGACTATTCTGTCCAAACGGTTTGCAAGCCTGGGGCACCTTTTGATGTTTTGGTGAAAGACCTTGATAGCTATATTGAAGGTTTTACAAACAGGGATTACATAGTAGTTTTGGTAGGGCCTGAAATAAAAAGATTGTCTAAAAAATATCTCACAGTTCTATCAAACAAATGTTTTTTCTCAAATCTAATTGTGTGTACAACTCCAATTAATAGTTTCTGTTCTTACAAAAACTATTCTTTGGTCAACAGGGAATTTTATAATATAATGACGTATTTGTCAAGTTTTAACAATAATATTAAAATGTTAACTTCAAACACAAACTTAACCACTAATTGTTTTGTAAAGAATTCACCTTATCTTAATAAAATAGGGCTAAGTGTAATGGCAAGGAATATTGGGAATGCTATCGAAGGATCCTGTTTGAGTAACAATAATTCTTGTAGTAGTCTGATTCATGTCAGCAGAAATGACGGTCTTTCAAATACACCTGATATGGATCCTTTTCAGGGTGGCAGTGATGTTCAAAGCACATATAATAATTTTTTGTTGGCTGATCTATCAGCCTCTGATACGCCAGATGGAAATTTTCGCTTACCAATGGCGGGAATACTAGTAACATAAAAAATCAAAATATTTCAATTTTTTACCAGAACTGTAGGGGTGTCAAAACGAAGTTGGATACACTTAGATTTGGTATTTTAAATAATGATTATGATATAATTGCTCTATCAGAAACTTGGCTCAATGAATCAGTGAATACTGCAGAGTTTGTCTTTGGAGACAGAGTCTGTTTTAGAAAAGACAGAAATAGATTAATTACTGGCAAAAGGCAAGGAGGAGGAGTTTTGCTTGCTGTCAAGGATTGCTACCTTATTACAGAAATGCAAATTTTTAATGACGATCAAGAAGCTTTATGTATCCAAATTAAACTTAACAATAATACTTTCTTATATATAGTCTTGGTGTATATTGTTCCAGACAGTCCAAGTTTTATATATGAGAACTTTTTTGAAAAAATAGAATCTAATCTAATTAATAATTCAAAATCTGAACTGATGATAATAGGTGATTTTAATATCCCTACTTATATTAATCCTATATCTTCTTGTGCCAACTTAAATATTCTTAAATCATTTTCAAATTTCAAAATAACTTTTGTAATGTATCTAATTGGGGTACTGCGAATAGCTTTAATCTAAATGTGAGTAAATGTAAGTGTATGTCATTTACCCTTAATAAAAACTCTTATCAGTATGATTACACTTACAATAATACTAAAATTGAAAGAGTTGACAAACAAAAAGATTTAGGTCTGATCTTTGACGTGAATCTCACTTTCACTGATCACATTCTTGCAAAAATTGAAAGTGCTCAGAGGGTAGCAGGATTTATTACAAGAAACACTAGAGACTTTGGCATAGACATAAGTTTACATCTTTTTGACAGCTTAGTTTTGCCTATATTGGAATATGGTTCTGTAATTTGGTCCCCTCAATATGATGTGTGGATTACGATTATTGAGGGGGTGCAAAGGAAATTTTTAAAGTCTCTTTATTTTAGAAAATATGGATTCTACCCACAAAGAGGTTGTAGTAATGAATATTTGTTGGGTGTCTTTGGAAGTGTCATTGGAGAAAAGGAGATTTAAAATAATTCTTTGCACAATGTTTAGGTTGCTGAAGGGTGAAATTGATGGTCCTGATATTCTTGGCCAGTTGCCATTTGCGATAAATAGAATTAATTCTCGGAATTCAAACAGTTTCTATTTAGCGTTTCCCAGAACCAATTTGTACAAGCACTCACCTATATTTAGAATGTGTTCAGTTTTTAATCGGTATGCTTCAGGTATTGATATAGACATGATAAATATTGAAAAGTTTAAAAAACTAATTGATAGTAAACTGCGGGATGAGATTTAGGACGTTTGTGTTTTGTACAGATTTGATTATAATCAACCATTTTAATTATGTATTGTTTAGTTTTAGTAAAAATGTTTTAGTGTTTAATACATGTCTTTATTTCTTTTAAGTGTATTGTTAAGTGGATGTCTGTAATTGGCCCCTGGCTGTTGATGTCTGATTGATAAATAAATAAATAAATAAATAAACTTATTAGATTTTCTCACAACTTATGAGCCGATGCAAAATAATCAAGTTATCATAACTGGTGACTTCGACATAAACTCTGATACAAATCACTTAAATATTAGATATGAAATTAACAAAATTACCCCTAGTTCCCAACTCATCAACACGATTTTATCTCAGGAACTATAAGTGCAAATGAGCTGAAATTTTCAGGGATTGTAGTCCTTTGAAAGGGATAAAATTCAGTGAAAGATTCAGCTTTCTATCATAATAGAAAAAAACTTATGACCTTTCAAAGTTTTTCAAAATCTAAAAAAACGATGAAATTTCAATTTTCTTTTGGCGAGATTTCGTATCCTAATGGTCAATCAACATCCCCCAAACTCTATATACTAAATAATTCTGAAATTTGAAGCCGAAATCTATAAAAAAAGGCACTCAGAAAAAAAAAGATATTACCAAATAGTGTAAATTTCGAGGTAAATTTTTAGAATTATTTTTTAAATAAGGGCATACAACATATTTGTACAGCTTCATACTCACCACAATCCACTTTTCAAGCTGAAAGATTTTTGGATACATTGAAAATAGCAATGATGAAAATAATAAGGGAGGAACAGCGACAGGATTGGAACAACATATAAGCCAGTTTCTAGCACCATATAGGTTTACACTAAATGTCAATTCTCCAGATATGGAACATTTATTGGGAAAAAAAAATGCAGATAGTAATGGATTTGCAAGACAAATCAAGCATTGTGGATGAATATTAAGAATCACAAAATAGAAGAAATACATATTTCCCATGATGATAATTACTCTCATTATCATAAAGAAGCTATGGTATGCAAAAATATTTAAAAGAAATATATTATGTATAATGTGCTAGTACCAGGTGATTAGAGGTGGGTTGCGATTTCACGAACTGTGACTTTGTCACTGCTACTTGTCTGTCACAGTCACAGCCTGCTCCAGTCTCAGTCAAGTAGCAGTGACATTTTGTCACTGCCCGCTTAAAGCTCCGACCGATGCAGCGCGGACAAAACTGGAGCTGTGATGCAAATTTAATAATATAATGTTATAAATCGCATCGCGGTCACGCTAAATAGAAACTGTTACTGTAGAGGGCAGGCTAGAAACTGGAACATCTCTCCCGGCCGTGACTGCGAACTGCGATTATGCCTTATTGCGATATAGCATTAACATAATATTAGCAGTACGGCCGCCAACTAAGGTAAAACTGCTCCAAAAAATCACTGCTATTTGTCACAGTGACACGACTGGAGCAGTCACGTCTTGTCACTGCTCCATTAAAATCGCAGGTTGGCCCACCTCTACAGGTGATTGTCCACATCTTTTCAGATTAAATGTCAGCCAGCTGAAAATGAGCTATAATGATCAGGTGAAGAAATCAACAATGGAATTCCACTACATGTTTGTTATTGGATGCTTTCAAAATAAATAAGGTATGAACATTTCACAAGAAAATGATGACTCAAAAAAGTCTAACAACAATATAGGATTCAAATTTAGAAGACAATGCAGAATGTTAAATTTTCTTAAACAATTTCATTTTAGACTTAATAAGGGAGAAATGTAGGAGAATACTATACTTCTACCTGAGGAGATATATGGCAGTTTATTGATTAATGCTATGTATTTATATTGTTTTTCTATGTAGCATTTTTGCTAAATAAACAATCATTTTATAAATGAAAATCAAGACTCCACTCAACAATACCCTAAGTATCTCATAGTCTAGGATGATAATTATATTGACCTATTAGTGATGTCATAGACCAGCAAGACTCCTTGGGCCCCTCTTGAATAAGACCGGATTATAGTACAAAATCTACCTTGTCCTGAAGTGTCCCATAATTGCAGCTTCACTCTTTTGCCATCGAGAAGTATCGTTGTGGTTTTATAAGCTAAAAATACCAATAGTTAGTGACACGATACAAACATTCATAAATAATTTATTGAATCAATACGTACACTTACCGCTACCGCTACAAAACGGACTTTCTAGCGCTCCGTCGTCCAAATCCGATAGGATTTCTTGTTTGCCAACATCGCTGTCGCCGACAAGCAGAAACTTTAGAAGATAATCATATTGTTTTTCAGGGGGTTTACTAAGTTCCCCAGCCATTCCAGTGGACTTGGTGTATTTGCAACCATAATCGGATTTTAAATCAAAAAGTGCAAACTTTTTAGCTCATTGTAAAACAACAAAATTCTTGTTTTTATTTTTGTTTGGGGCAAGGTCGCACCTTTCCAAAATAAACCAGATGGGGGCTCCCACTGAGATTTTAATGGGGTTTTTCACTGTAACACTACACGAGGGGTATGGGGATACAATTTGAGGCTTTTTGCTGTGAAGAAAATCACTATTTTCACTTGGGAAATTGGAGAAAAGAAGCGATTTTTTCACTTTTCTCTTGTCACCTTTTTCTTTTTTTTTATTATTGTCCAAGTAGTGGAGGGGTTATCGATACGATGTATCGAAATGTACATCGATCGATACGCCCTTGATGATGGTGCATATCGATATGAATTCGTCAATATCGATAAGTATCCTACAAAATCTATAGCTTTTTGTGCCCATAATGATTTTCTCATATAAAAAAGTGAAGGCTTTGAAAAAATATCGTCCTATGAATATCGATAAATCCTTCTCTAGTTTTGTATTTGGAAAAAAATTGGTACCTTTAGTGCTGCCATCTATTGTCATCAATTTTCTTGCAGGGGCGCTGTTGCCAAAAAAAAAGATCAAAACATTCCTTTTAATTTTAAACTATTTATTGATTTTAGGCTTAATTCATTATGTTTATTATTTGTAATTAATTGAAAAATAGATCCTATTAATATTAATTGCAAATTTAATTAATTATTATAAATAATTATTGTCATTTGTCACAGTAAATTTTGTTTAAGTTGGCAACGTCGGAAAAATTAAAGTGACGTTTCGGCCATTGTGTTCAGGTAGGTGACAGAGGAAACGCACGCGGGCGGATATTTTCGTGTTTTTCTCGCGATTTTTCCGTAATTTTCCGTTAAAAAAATCGGTCCAGAAACGAGAAAAAATGTCCCACAACACGGCCCCGGACAGTTGGGAATCGCAAGCGGACAGCAATTCGAGTAACAGCAGCCCCAGTCACGGTACAGATGTGACCACCACGAAATTTTCCACGTTGAACGTAAACGCAGTTGAATTTGTGCCTTCGTTTAGTTTTGGACCCTCGGCGGCCCCCGAAGAAGAGGAGGCCGCCAGTCCGAAAACGGGGCCGAGCAAAGAGGCTTCGCCCCAACACCAACCAGTAGTCAACGGTAATTGTAACTGTAAATCTTCCCTTTTACCTTTTTTTTTTTTTGACAGGGACAAATTTAGGTTAGATGTCCTCAATTTTTCACTGAAATTTTGTAAATTATTGCTACCCTTATGTAACAAGGTTTTTAATAATTGTCCTTGGCAATACCTAATTCCATATTGTAGCATTTGAAAGTACGTGCCCCCATAAAAATCATATTTTTAGCCAACACAACAATGGACTAATTGAAAACCAAAACAGCTATTTTAACGTTGGGAGGATATTGATAAAAACTGTTGATCTACATTTACCGGTTTATACTGGTTATGCCAGCCATCAACCTGATTTTTTTTTGTATTACCAACTTTTTCCAAAAAATTATTGCGTGTTAATGGAAAACCATTAGGCTCATTAAATCTCCATAATCTAATCTCTCAGATTGTCTTCTGGTATTTATTTTATTGGATTTGTTTTCTAGGACAAGCAAATGCACTTGAAACTGTTATTCCTCAATATTAACAGCCACTTCTGAAGCTACTATGTATGGTTTTTGAAGCTGATTTCTCAAGAGATGATAAGTCACTTGCAATTTCAACATACATAATTGCTTTTTCTAAAGCTTCCATTCATGGTTTTGAAGCATTGATTTTTCAATTATCAGTTTCTCAGTAATAAGACACTGTTCTTGTTACAACTTGGACTAAAAAATAAAAAATAATTTGACATTATTATTATGTTATAACAATTAGATTTCTCATTTAAATCTTCATAATCTAATCTCTCAGATCAGATTGTCTTCTGAAGCTTCTGGTATTAATTTGTATAAATTTGTTTTCTAGGAGAAGCAAATATAGGTTCTCTGCACTTGAAACTGTTATTCTTCAATTTTTACAGCCATTTCATAAGCTTCTATGTATGGTTCTGAAGCTGTTCTACTCTCGGTTCTACTTCATTTATTGGTTTCTCTGGAAGAGATGATGGGTCACTTGCAATATCAACATAATTGCTTTTTCTGAATCTTCTGTTCATGGTTTTTGAAGCACTGATTTTTAAATTATTACTTTCTCAGGAATAAATACACTGTTGCAACTTGGGGACTCAAAACTGTCATAATGTAACAGAGGTTTAGGCGAGGACCGAGGGGTATGTCACTTCTGGAATTACATGTACATTTTCTTGATTGTATTGTGGAAGTCACAGGAATTCGCTTAGTAGCAGGGATCGACCGATATGGCATATCAGTATATCGGTGTATCGGCCTTTTTCAGGTATATCGGCGTATCGGTATATCAGCCCTTCATTGGCCGATAACTTTAGACCGATACAAATCATATTTTAAAAGATCAGTAATCATCACTAAGGTTTTTTTAAAGCTCAAAAGAGCTAATAATTGTGGTTCGTACATATGGGAGTGACTAATGGCCGTTTCCACCAACTATTTTAGGAGAGCCCTAACTTTATTTATTTATTTATCAATCAGACATCAACAGCCAGGGGCCAATTACAGACATCCACTTAAGACTAACAGTAACATAAAGCTTAACAATACACTTAAAAGAAATAAAGACATGTATTAAACACTAAAACATTTTTACTAAAACTAAACAATACATAATTAAAATGGTTGGTTATAATCAATTCTGTACAAAACACAAACGTCCTAAATCTCATCCCGCAGTTTACTATCAATTAGTTTTTTAAATTTTTCAATATTTATCATGTCTATGTCAATACCTGAAGCATACCGATTAAAAACTGAACACATTCTAAATATAGGTGAGTTCTTGTACAGATTGGTTCTGGGAAACGCTAAATAGAAACTGTTTGAATTCCGAGAATTAATTCTATTTATCGCAAATGGCAATTGGCCAAGAATATCAGGACCATCAATTTCACCCTTCAGCAACCTAAACATTGTGCAAAGAATTATTTTAAATCTCCTTTTCTCCAATGACACTCTTCCAAAGACACCCAACAAATATTCATTACTACAACCTCTTTGTGGGTAGAATCCATATTTTCTAAAATAAAGAGACTTTAAAAATTTCCTTTGCACCCCCTCAATAATCGTAATCCACACATCATATTGAGGGGACCAAATTACAGAACCATATTCCAATATAGGCAAAACTAAGCTGTCAAAAAGATGTAAACTTATGTCTATGCCAAAGTCTCTAGTGTTTCTTGTAATAAATCCTGCTACCCTCTGAGCACTTTCAATTTTTGCAAGAATGTGATCAGTGAAAGTGAGATTCACGTCAAAGATCAGACCTAAATCTTTTTGTTTGTCAACTCTTTCAATTTTAGTATTATTGTAAGTGTAATCATACTGATAAGAGTTTTTATTAAGGGTAAATGACATACACTTACATTTACTCACATTTAGATTAAAGCTATTCGCAGTACCCCAATTAGATACATTACAAAAGTTATTTTGAAGAGTTTCACAATCCTTGATGGAATTTATTAAGTGAAAACATTTGAAATCGTCCGCAAACAGTAAGCCCTTGATGTCTTCAAGATTGCCCATGATACCATTTATAGCTGCTAAAAACAGAAGAGGGCCAAGATTAGAGCCCTGGGGTATCCCTGATGTGCTCTTGTACACAACAGATTTAGATCCTTTGATTTCTGTATATTGAAATCTATGGCTAAGATAGGATTGTAATAAATAAAATAGATAAGATGATACATTCATATTGTTTAGGGCTTTTAAAATTACGCAGTGCCTCACCTTATCAAACGCCTTCTCCATATCTGTGAATATTACGTCAACTTGTGACTTGTCATTTATTGCATCGTGAATATATTGACAAAATGTGATTAAGTTGGTGTAAGTTGACTTTTTAGGAAAAAAACCATGTTGGCATGATGTTATTTTGCCCGAAATTTCACTATACAATCGATCAAAAATAATTATCTCGAAAACTTAAATTCAAATTTTTAAATTCAAAAACAGCTTTATTGTCATAAAAAAAAAGATTAAAACATCTCATTGACAAAGCGTTAGACAATATATACAATTGAGATAGGACGATAATTTTTTATGTCTTTCCTGGCACCAGCCTTGTAGACAGGTATAACTTTGCTTGTTTTCCATTTATCAGGGTACACAGACGTTTTCAAAATAAAATTAAATAGAAATTCAAGAGGCAACGCCAAATATTCACTGCAGCCCTTTATGATATAAGCAGGTACTCCATCAGGACCTATTGCTTTGTTACCCTTAATCTTTATGATAGCCTTTTGAATTTCAGTCATGCTAATCACATTGTCGCAGAAGTGCGACTTTACAGGAAATTTACTGCAAGTTACGTCAGTATCATCAATAAAAACTGATTTAAAAAAATCCGCGAAGCCGTTAGCAATGTTTTGAGGTCCAGTGTACGTTTTGCCATCAGAAATCATTTCCTGAAGAACATCTGGATGATCCTTAAGGCCTTTTACATATGACCAAAAGAATTTAGGGTTTGATTTTAAACTAATTTTTACGTCATGCAGATATTTAGAGTAGGCTAATTTCATTTTGTCTTTAATTCTGTTCTGTAGGCCCACAAATTTGGACCTCCAGTAGTTTGATCTGTATTTTTTTGATTTCAGAAAGTACTTATGCTTTTTTTTAATGAGTATAATAATATGTCTATCAAACCATACAGGATATTTCTTATCAATTTGGGTGGACTTAGGAACACATCTTTCAAAAATGTCCCCCAGAATAGTGTAGAAGGCGTTTATGGATGTATTTACATCTGTACCGTTTTTCAAGATATCCCAATTTTGATTTTTAAAAAGGTGGTACATTAACAGAAAATTGGCTTTTTTAAAGTTAAATTTGGTGGTAGATACAACCTTACAGGCATTGATAGGGCATTTAGTTTTTAGACAGACACTAAGGCAGGGATGTTGATTGTCTATAGGTATTAGACAGTCATGTGTCCTATCTACACATATGTTATCAAATGAAGTTATAGCTAGGTCAAGTATAACATTATTATTATTTCTAATTTGGTTCATCGGGGACAAGTTATTAAATGCTAAAAATGATTTAAGAATATTTAAGTTGGCACAAGAAGATATAGGATTAATATAAGTAGGGATATTAAAATCACCTATTATCATCAGTTCAGATTTTGAATTCTTAATTAGATTAGATTCTATTTTTTCAAAAAAGTTCTCATGTATAAAACTTGGACTGTCTGGAACAATATACACCAAGACTATATATAAGAAAGTATTATTGTTAAGTTTAATTTGGATACATAAAGCTTCTTGATCGCCATTAAAAATTTGCATTTCTGTAATAAGGTAGCAATCCTTGACAGCAAGCAAAACTCCTCCTCCTTGCCTTTTGCCAGTAATTAATCTATTTCTGTCTTTTCTAAAACAGACTCTGTCTCCAAAGACAAACTCTGCAGTATTCACTGATTCATTGAGCCAAGTTTCTGATAGAGCAATTATATCATAATCATTATTTAAAATACCAAATCTAAGTGTATCCAACTTCGTTTTGACACCCCTACAGTTCTGGTAAAAAATTGAAATATTTTGATTTTTTATGTTACTAGTATTCCCGCCATTGGTAAGCGAAAATTTCCATCTGGCGTATCAGAGGCTGATAGATCAGCCAACAAAAAATTATTATATGTGCTTTGAACATCACTGCCACCCTGAAAAGGATCCATATCAGGTGTATTTGAAAGACCGTCATTTCTGCTGACATGAATCAGGCTACTACAAGAATTATTGTTACTCAAACAGGATCCTTCGATAGCATTCCCAATATTCCTTGCCATTACACTTAGCCCTATTTTATTAAGATAAGGTGAATTCTTTACAAAACAATTAGTGGTTAAGTTTGTGTTTGAAGTTAACATTTTAATATTATTGTTAAAACTTGACAAATACGTCATTATATTATAAAATTCCCTGTTGACCAAAGAATAGTTTTTGTAAGAACAGAAACTATTAATTGGAGTTGTACACACAATTAGATTTGAGAAAAAACATTTGTTTGATAGA